GCATTTTATCTTCTTGCATCAGATTTCTTCCCAAATTGATGTGACTCAGGCATAGGGAACACATTTTTACTGCGATTTTCTTCCTAAAATATATTTTTACTGTACCTTTAAATTACACTGGGTTGACCCTTGATCGTGAACCTCAGAAGTTCCTCCTACTGGATGTAGCACAGCAGAAGGTCAGAGACTGCATGAGAGGTGCAAGGTCTTTGTAAGTAGGAGTTACCATAGCTGCCTGATCTTGGTATTTGAAGGTACTTAGTAGTGCTTTCTGCTTTCTTCACTCTGCCTCTAGTGAAATGTCAGCAGCCTCATATGGCATACAGAGTGAACTTTATGCTACAGCCAGGGTGAATGTTAGTGGTTTCTTTCCAATCCATGTATGTATATACAATTTATCTTGCAAGTGTTTCTGGTCCCTATTCTGATGCTACTAACACTCTGTCCCACTAAAAGCACTCCTCTTTTTAAGCATTTCTGTCTCATATATGTTTCTGATTCTTTAAATTGCTCATTCATCTCAAAGATGCTTTTTACATAAGAGATGAAACCAAAAGACTGAGCTCTCCATTTACAAAGAAACAAGACTCCGAGTCTTTTCCTGTGCCTGGATCTGAAGAAGACTCGCTGTAAAAAGTTTATTTTTCCTTTTGTATTTAAAATTGCCCCAAAACAAAGATAGTCCTGAGCTAACTAGTTGTTTTTCACTATTAAAAAGAATCATCAGAATTTAGGACTCACTGAGCCCTTTGGGCAGCGGGGGCTCTAATTCTTGGTTCTGCTTCTATATGACCATATAGGTCCATTCTTCCAACATTTATCACCAGCTCATCTATGCTGGCCCCCCTCTCATAGCAATGATTGAATGCGCAAAGACAAGAAAATGAAGAAAATGCCCACCCAAAAAGAATTGGATTGAAAATTTTAAATTTAATTAGTTAAGTTATTTATCACTTTACATCCCAATATCAGCACCCCCCATCCCATCCTCCACACTGGAGGACTAGGGGCATCCTCTCTTATTGATGCCAGACAAGGTAGCCCAGTTAGAGTAACAGGATCCACAGGCAGACAACAAATTTATCACAGCCCTAGCTCTAGTTGTTAGGGGGAACTCACATGAAGACCAAGCTGCACATCTGCTGCTACATACATTCAGAGGGTCTAGGCTGAACATAATTTTTACATAGTATTTGATAAAATTGTAACATATATATGGAGATTCAGAAAGGAATAGGTCAATATGGACTGAAGCTATTGGCCAAGTCTTCACACAGGAAGTAAAACACGAGATGTGCTTCCTAAGACACATTGATTTTAATGTGTTCTTCAAAATGAAAGAGAAGTGCGCCCATGTGTTCCTGGGAAAACGATGGAAGGCGAAGGTATTCTGTTGTGTGTAAATAACCAGGTACTTAGGGAGGCAACTGAGAAAGAAAGTAAGGGACATCTGACCTAAACAGCTACTAAAGACGCACATATGGGCATTCTGGCAGACATAGTACACGACACATTGACTCTTGTACACAGACTTGCCTTATAATAGTTTTATAACAGCTTGCATGAGAAATCATTTCTCATGACACATTTCCACAGCTAGGTCTTCTTTCCTTGCTGACCTCTTCATGCTTTTCTCTTGCACGGCATGTACATTCACTTAACAATGTCGAATTGGGTGTCCTGACCCCCAGCCCTGTCTAGAAATCTCAAAATGTCATTGTTATTTCAGGCAAATCTTGTTCTGCTCAGTCCTTATCTCATCTGCAAAATGAGGGCGATAGATTAGGGAATTTCTTGCATTCCATTTGGTGCCAGAATCTTAGGATTCCAAGTGAGGCTATACTTGTCCACTAAACCAATTTAGTCATTTCACCCAGAAAGTAACAATAAGTATATACTTTGCAATGCATTCAAACACCAAACCTATAAAATCCATAATTACCTTGGATTTACATATGATCTCTTTTTGTAAAGATGTATTCTCAACTCCTGGTTATTCCAAAGCTTAGTAAATCCCAGTCCCTTCGGGATGCCTAAAAATGGTGTCTATCCCATCAGCCAGTTGGATATTAGTGCCTTTGAAACTCGTAATTTGAAATTAGTCTTCACTGTAGCTGGCCTAGCAGACAGATGACTCTGATGCTATGATAAACCCTCACTGCCTTTTTTTTTCTTGCATTTACCCAGAGCCCCAAATCTGATAAATGTATTTATCACACGTTTTTCAAGTGCCTTGAATTTGTAAACGTCAGCAGCCTTTATTTATCTTCTGCTGTGGAAGACACAGTACCAAGTCCTGTTCTTCAATGGTAGGGAAACCTCTCAGGCTGTGAGCAGTGAGCAAAGACAGATGAGCCAGTGGTCTGCTGCTCCCACTCATTGCTGCCTACTCATTGTCTCTCTCCATTTGACTTGGGTTTTGAAGGACATTTGCCAGAGCCAGACTCCCGGGACCCTTGTGATTTGCATGTCTTTTCTCACCTTCAACATAATCTGAACTGATGTTTTCATTTGTTAAAAAAGCCCAAGAACATTCACTGGGAAACTCTTGCTGGAATCACTTCAGATCATAGTTGCTATTTATTCTGTGTCATAAACTGTAATCCTTCATTTCCCGTACTCCCATGTCAAGGGAGTTGGTGGTTTTATAGTGGACAGTCAGTGGAATTTCAGTCAACAGTGGGAGATCTCAAAGAACTACCCAGAGGGGATGGGGCAGGTTGTAGTACTAAGAACAAGACATAAAAATATTATTGATCTTGATCAGAGCTTGGCAGTACAAGAAGAAACAGGATTACAAGACAGAACAAAGAATATGGAACTTGTGGTTATGCAGGAAAAGGAATTATGGGTGAAGAAAAATCAGAGTATTTACTTAACCTGGTGTTTTCTTTATTTGACAAAAAAAAATATAGTAACTTGTGATTTGATTGGTCTCAAATTTAGAAAAGTATAGAAGCTAAGGACTTTTTGCAGATTCATGTTTTATGGAAACATGACATTCATAATAAGGTATTGTCTCAAAGTCCCTGAAGACGAAGACATACCAGAAGAGCTAGGCATATGGAACTGCATTCAAGAGATCTAGTATGAAGAAGAACAAAAGAATAATACAAATGCTTCCAAACAATTGAACAGGGAGAAGACTCTACATCCTAACCAATGTTTGGTCCTATGTGTTTGAATTACAGTGTTGACGTTATGGTCGGCTAATTTTTCTAATAGGTAAACAATGTCAGTCATGTTAGCTAGGATATTCTAGGCCTGGAGAGAGCTTGAAAATTATGATTCAAATGGGTTTCATCATCAGAATGGGGCTGATCTGAGAGTCTCAGCAGAGCATGATAGAAGCTCTATCAGGGTGCAATAACATCATGAAGTACGAGGATTAATGAAGCTCCTGCATCCATCAATCAGGGAATGACAATCAGCAACTTCTTTCTTTGAGAAAATGAGTAAGATCTTACTTTTTTTTTCTACAGAAACACTTTTCTGAGGACAAGTTTCATGTTTCCCGTGGGGGAAAAAATTAGCCAGTGTTTATTGTATCTGGGTCTTTAATTACCAAGGACAATATACAGTGTCTGTTCTAAGTCCTGGAATTGCCTAAGAAGGAAGGAGTCTTAGTGTGTAAAGATAGCAGTCCCAGTCATCAGGCACCTAGAGATCTGCTCTGCAGGAGTCCCCGGTCTAACCTGTACTTTGAACCCAAACATAAATGTAGAACAGGCTCTAATTTGTTACTTTTGGGTAAGAATGACATTACAGCTGAGGTGGCTGTCGTTAAAACAACTTGGTTCTTGCTAGCAACTTTGTTGAGAGTGTTGTGTGTTTTTACTCACAGGAAACTATGATTTGATGTGCTAGAAACAAAGAGCTAAGAGCTCCTTTTTGTTAAAAACGGAGAAAATATACAATTTTCCCTTTATTCTCATCTTTACTCCTTGTGATTTACTTGGGACTGAGCCTCTCTGGACAACCTGTGCCATAAAAGAATGTGTATAACCCATATGGGCTCTGGGAGTTCCAGCCTCTGGGATAATTGTTTGATGGTGGTATTAGCACAGCTGGTCAGCCACTCGGTTTCCAGTCAATCGTTCTTGTACTGGGGTTGGGGGGGGTGGTTCAGGACAGGCCCATGTTACTCTCTAAGGGGACATTTTGCTCCCTGAATGACTGGCACAACAAGATGGCTTTGGGATAATTCAGAGCTAACCAAGAAGGACCCCGGCAGGTAAATATGCAGAGATGTCAATTTTTTTCCCCAAAGGTCTCTCAGTCCTCAGGACTCTATTACTCAATGTGGGATGCAACTCTTTCAGGGAGCAGTTTCTCATTCTTGTGTTTTCTTAGTAATGGTTGCTTGAGTTCCTGATACTAGTTTTGGCCCTAACCTTGAACTAAGCTGAAGCCTGTTTGGACAATGGCATGGCATGGAGTTTTTAATGGATGGTGCTCTGAATCAGTCACTGCATTTAAGGAGAATGCATTTTAACATTGGAGCCTCTTTGATTTGGTTTGAAGAGTAAAGTCTCTTTTCTGTATAATGTGCACTTGTGACCGCATGTCTGTGCTGTGGAGAGGAGCTGGTATATTTTGTGATAAAACTGTGGAAATGAACATCATATAGTATAAGGGAGTGAGATAAAATAGGGCCTACTTTTCTTTCCCCATCTCTGGTGAGATAGAGAGAATATGGACAAGAGTGAGATTTTCTTTTAGCCCTCTTTTACAGAAGTGACTTCAATGAGCTGCAAGTGACATTTTTCAGGCACCCATCTCAGGCCTAATCTTACATAGAGGTGCAGTAATGAGGCCCCAAGACTGGGGAGGATTCTTGGCCCTTGCTGGCATTTGTATAAGAAAAATGGCATTTGACTTGCAGTACTTTGCTAAGGACGTGAGCAAAAGAAGCAAGCTCTCATTCTAGATGACAGTAAATACAGGCCATCTGGGACCTCTAGAGTGATCTTTCCTCCTTACCACCAATTTCATTCCAGATGATCAGTTGAACTCTGAGGAGAAGAAGAAGAGAAAGCAACGGAGAAACAGGACAACCTTCAATAGCAGCCAGTTGCAGGCCTTGGAGCGTGTCTTCGAGCGGACACATTACCCGGATGCTTTTGTTCGAGAAGATCTTGCACGTCGGGTGAACCTCACTGAGGCCAGAGTGCAGGTAAGGCTCATGCTTTGAGTGGCAGGCACCAAGCATCCCTTCACAGTGACATATCTCTAAACATAGGTTTGGCACTGAAGTTGATACTAATATGGGTCATGAAAATAAAGTATAACAACAGGCTTCATATCTTTACTGTGCTTCTTTGGGTAGAGTGGCATTTTAAAAATCCAAGTAGAATGCCTTTAGAAAGGACGGAATATGCTGTAGGGAAGGGAAGGCTTTCTCCTTTCCCTGTTGTGAACTTTCTATATAGTGTTCTATAGGCTATCCACTGAAGGCTTGCCTCTGCACCACCAGCACTCAATTTAAATCATAGAGTGGCCATAGATATGAGCTCTTCCTCACCTGATGTTTCCCCACCAGCATGGGAGAATATATAAACCTTCTAGTACTTTGCTTTCAGTATTCATGATTATGAGTGGTGATAAAGGCTGGATATAGATATTGAAAAGTTAAGAGCACACTTAAACTAGATAACATCTTATAGTCTCCAATGCCTTTATGAAATAAAACAGAGAGTGGGAGGGTAGAGTCATGGCAGTTCCTTCAGTCAGAAGAGTGTAAAAAGATTCTCCACCTGGGGACACAGGGGTATCTCCTCCAGGTTCTTCCCAAGAGACAAGAAAAATGAAAAGAAGATGCAAGGAAAGCCATCTAGGCCCCTTCTGTAGTCCTCTGGAAATGGAGACAGAATGTTGAGGATGTACCTTGTGTTGGCAGTCAGGGCTCAGGAGATGCTCCATAGAAGCATAAATCTCCATAGCCTCAACATTGGCCCTGTTCTCCCCCTCCCGCTATCCTTACAGAACTGATGTTAACCTCAGTTCACACTCCAGGCTGCTTTTCACATAGTGCTATGAGCTCCCCCCACCTTCCTAACCCTCTACATCTCCTATTTCCCAACCCTACAGTGAAATGACATCTGTAAATGAATAACCCACACACGAAGAAAACAAAGAAAGAAGAAAGAAAAGAACATACAAAAACGTGTTCCTAGTTTGGGTGTTTTCTTTTTCTTTTTTATTAATCTTTTGGTTTTGTTTTTAACTTTCTTTTTGAGAGAGAGGGAGAGAGAGAGAAAGAGAGAGAGAGAGAGAGAGAGAGAGAGTTCAAGAGACAGAGGGAGACAGAGAAAGACAGAGAGAGACAGAGACAGAGAGAGACAGAGACAGAGAGAGACAGAGAGAGACAGAGACAGAGAGACAGAGACAGAGAGAGACAGAGAGAGATGGAGAGAGACAGAGAGACAGAGATGCAGAGAGAGAAAACATAAATTTAAATAGGTAAGAAGGTAGGGAGGATCTGGGAGGAATTGGAGAAAGGGAAAGAATATGGTCAATTATATTGTATGTAAAAAAATTAAATCCCCTAGTATCCCACAGCACCATTTTGTTGTTGTGCTCCTAATTTTAAAAGGAAACATAGATTGTGCGATGGTGAAGACTGTTTTTAAAATGCAGAAGGGTCACTTTTTGAGTTGGAGATAAATCTTGTCCAATTTCGGTGGTTGAATATCATGCATGTACATACATGATGCACACATATGCGCATACTTAAGCACACATGGTGGGAGACACAGGAAAATTCCATCTGTGTATCACGTATGCCTACCGTATATGTCTTTTTCTCTTCCTTTTCCACTACAGGACAAACCTATGCTTCTATTGCTGTGAATATTTCCTGAGCGAGTGGCACAGAATTTTTCCTCTGTGATTTTGTTATTTCTCCTTAAACTCCTAGCCTTTCCCAGACCAAATCAATCACTGAACTCCGGGACTCCATATTCAGGGCATTTGTCATAACATGGCATGTACTGTATGAAGCTATCTGTGTGTCAAGTCTCCTCACTGTGTGCTAAAGTCCTCCTGCATGGAAATAAGTTTTATTCATCTTTGCAAAATACATTTCTCCCTTTTTCCTCAAATGCTTATTGAGCTACTGCAGATTCTTTTACTTCATTTGATTTGTTGGAGATAAACGAGGCACTGGCCCTCTTATTAAGGGTACCATTGCCTAGAAATGAAAGAAGATGTGCAGGCCATTGAAGGATGATGTCATCACAAGATGATCCCCACAGTAAAGGAATCTGAAAGTATTACCCATAGATAAGAGAAAAGAATGATCCATTCTGCCCAGGGAAAAGGGTGGGGTTACACCCTGATTACTTGTACGCTGTGAACCAATTCAAAACTATTTGTAATCAGGTTGGTCATCTAATCAACCACAAGACTGATACAGACAAATTAAATAACAGTTTGAGGATAAATCCTTAATGTAGTATAGTTGAGATTTTTATCCAGTTCTTTAGACCTTAATGTCACATACCTTTCACTGTAACTCTTCACAGAGAAAGTGGTGTTACTGTAAAATCTTGGGTTTGAAACCTGGGCATAGAGAAGGTATACTACAGGTAGCATGAATGCCTGGTGTCACAGGACATGGTGGACACACATCTGCTGTTTTGCGGGAATCCTCTGAGCCTAAGACACACTAAAAAGTACTGTGGCTTTATGATAAACAGAGGGCTAATTCTTGAACACTGCTATTTTTTCTGTGTTAAGAAATTTTCATTTTACTTTTTAGTAGAAAGGCAGAGGAGGGTATCAAGCAAGGCATCCATTTTATTTACATTTAAAGTGGTAATGACAATTCTTGTTCATATTACAAATGAAAGATCTGAGGGCTGGGCAGGTAGGGAAAGATGTCTAAAACTACTGATTTTGCTGATTTCCATTCTGGTACTTCATGCTACACAATTCTATGTGGGGTGTGGGAAGCGCAATAGTCACACAGCATTTTAGGTAAATGTTGTTCCTTAGAGCAATTTATTACCATATACCATCATACTTTCTAAAACTTGACCAAAATATTTGCTTTACATTATTTAGATGTATGTACACATCAGGCTTTAACAAACTTTGAACTGCTTGAGAGCAGTCAGTAAGTCCTCGTCATCTCTTTCTTCCCACATTTAGTATGAGGCCTGCACTCTAGCGAACACTCCATAGAGCGTTCTTGAATGAATATAATGAATGGATAAAATTATATTGCAGTCTGGAAGAATTGTATGGTCATGGGTTAGACACCCTTAAGTAAAAATAAATGCAGTTATTATTGGCATGAACTTCAGGATCGTATCTCACTGGACACATTTCCTCAACTTTAAGGTAGAAATGATAAAACCCAACCTGCAGAATTATTACACAGCCTAGAAATAGTGTAACTCCCAATGTAGGTTACTAGTCCTGGGATCAACTTAAATAAGAGTCTATGATTAGCTGTCGCAGATCCTGTCAGGCTCCGTGCATCCCTTGAGATGTACAAATAAATGTCCTCCAGTTGTATTCTCAGGGCTAGTACTTGGTTTGTTCGTTCCGTTTGTTTGTTGTTTGTGTGATTTTTCTTTCCTCCTGAAAGTTCCTTTATAGAATGCAAATAGGTTTCCCTGTTCGTTTCAATATGGTAGAAGTGATTGGACCGCATAGCCAGGAGCCAGTGTGCAGATACACCCTTGATGGGAGAGGGATACCCCTGAACATCTATCCTCCCTCAGTCTTAGTCTACAGAGTCCCCATTTGGTTGGGCTCCTGTTGGGGTTGCCAACTTATTGGAGCACTCTTTAGTGGTTCTCTTTCTTTGGTTGCATCTTCATTTCCCTTATGGTTTTTCCTGTACCTTTTCTACGAATAATTTTCTTCTTAATCCTTGCCATAAGGTATGGAGGAGATAGAGGGTTTTCTTTAAATAATAAACACAATGAAAGCAGATGAAAAATTTGAAGAATCTTTAAAATGTCCTTAGGAAAACTATTGTCAGCATCTAAGGAAATAATAATTTTATTGAATATAATTACAACAGGGTTTATAGCCAACATTTTCTTGTCTCGTGGAGTGTTCATAGATTCCCATCTCTGGATTCTTAATTACTACAAGTATTTCATGATCCTTTTGTGCGGGGCCTTGTACATGCTAAGCTCTACCCCTGAAGTATTACACAGATCCAGAGGTTTAACTCTAAAACTCATTGCCCATGGGGGAAGGATAACACTGCAGGAGTTCTATTATTTTAGGAAGAGGTCTAGATCCATCCTGTAACTTTCTTGGGGTGGCATTATATAGTAAAATCAACCAAAACTTCATTCATGTAACCTATTTTTCCTCGTTCTTCCTCTCCCTCTTGACATCTTTCTCCCCTTTCAACAATATTCCAGGTGTGGTTTCAGAACCGAAGAGCCAAGTTCCGCAGGAATGAACGAGCCATGCTGGCCAATAAAAATGCTTCTCTCCTCAAGTCCTACTCAGGAGACGTGACTGCTGTGGAGCAGCCCATCGTACCTCGTCCTGCTCCCAGACCCACCGATTATCTCTCCTGGGGGACAGCCTCTCCGTACAGGTGAATGACTGGCCCACTCTCTCTTGCTCCACTACCACATGCTTCTCAGCCATCCACCACTCTCAAGGCTGCTTTTGCAGCTGGCTGACATTCCTTACTGGGTTAACCTCTTCAGAGACATTCAACTTGCTGGCACCCCCACATTTTTCCAGGAGATTACTAGTTGCCCCAGGAGCAGGGTTTGGGGCAGAAGAGAGGGGCAGCCATCAGCAATCTCCTCCCGGACTCAGGAAGTCTTGCCAAGGTTGCAAAACTGGGAAAGAATATAAACGAACAGATCCTTTGTAAACTGTGCCCGATGGCCCTCTTGGAACCATTCTGAAACAAAAGTATCCCATTTAAGACACATTTGCTGTGTTACAGCCAAGTAGGGAATCAATGTGTAATTCTCCAAGTGTAGGACTAAAGGCACTCTTCAAAATAAATCTGATTTTGAATGAAAAGGAAAGGAGGGAGGGCAGGAGGAAGAAGAAGTGAGACAGGGAGGAGGGAGAAGGAGGGAAGAAAGGAGTGAGACAGGAGGGAAAGAGGAAAATTCAGCGACAGAGAAGCTTGTTTTAATCACTTTCATGACCCTAGAACTTTGTTAGCAGGTGAGAGTTTCTTAAGATCCCCAGTGCTTCCTCCTCCATTTGTACTTCTTCTGTATCTCAATGTTTCTCTCTCTCTCTCTCTTTGTCTCCCTCCCTCCCTCCCTCCCTCCCTCCCTTCCTCCCTTCCTCCCTTCCTCCCTCCCTCTCATGTTTCTCTCTCTTTGTGGTATGCTTTAAATAGAAAAGAAGAATACATTAAACTTTTATATTAAGAAGGAATTTGAAGCAGGAAATAATAAAGTACTATTTCACTCTCTATTTGGAGACTTTCACTCCCTGTTCAGTGTGCTTCTCAGAAAGCACAGGTTGATGTAAGCGCATCTAGGATTCCTGGACTTAACCTATGGTCAGCCTAGTATGCCTCTTTCTTTAAATCTTGGAGAAACCCAAGTCAAAGCTATATATCCTGCTTGAAGAACTATGCATATGTTCATTTTCTTATTGAATGACATTTATCTTTTTAAACTTAATTCTCATCCTAAGGAGGGATTTAAAACTTGTTACAGGGAATTAGGCCCAGGTAAAGATGTGAAATGCCACATTTGAGAAACATGAGTGCTTTGCCATACTTGATAGGTATCATTAAATCCCAAAGCCTCATCTAAACGCTCTCTCAGGTCCAAGTAAGTTCTTCAGAGAAATGCTGAAGATGCATTGGGAAGTTTTATATACATCCCTTGTGACCTTAGCCTGAAACAGCTCTGATCTCAATGATAGATATCTGTGTCTGGAAAAATGCGAGGGACCTGTGTATGTTCTGGGTCTCTATTGGCCCAACCTTTCAGCCATGGCTATTTAACATTTAGATGCGTCTCCTGTAGAACTTACTAAAAACACATTTTGAAGATTGTTGTGGAATACCATATTCTATAATATTTTAAATAAGAGGAAGGACTGTTTTCCCTACAACTATTAGTAGTCCACAGATTCAGTGAACATCTTGGAATATGGGTATAGTTCAGAGTCTGGTGCATTAAGATCTCTGGTTTGAATTTGGTTCCAATCAGGAAGTATTGCTCCTTTTACTGCTTATGTCTTCCTTGGGATTTTTACCACCAGCAATCAACAATCCAGATGGCTGCCATGTGGTCCCTACCCATGGAGCTGAACACAGCATACTACACAAACGGAGATTATATCCTTCCTGTACTAGCATCAAGTTAGGCAATCTGAACCAAAGAGATATTCCCCAGTGTGGGCATCTAACAGAATGGGAATTCTAACTAGCAGCTAGTAACATGGACATTTGCTGTGCCTTTTTGGGAAATATTCTATTTTAATTTAAAAAACATAGAATTCTACATACATTTCAAAAATCCACTCATAATCTCACCATCTTGACATAATCATTTTATGATTAGGGTTCGTTATTTTATATAGGTATAGTCTTAGTGTACATACTATTCTGTATTATGCTCTTTTATCACTTAAGACTGTGTAACTTAGTGCTTTTTACTCATTTCGTGTTATGCATTTATTTCTTTTACACACAATGTTTGTAAAAATAGCTAATTGAAGCATCATAGAAGGTAATTGTTCATATTTTGTATGAAGAATAAATTAATATCCAATATGAGTAAAAAAGCAAAAGTTTAAGGCAAAAGTTTAATCAATGATGTTTCTTTGTCCTATTGTTATCTGAAGTGTTCATAAGTTCGTTACTTTCTGAAAGTGTCAAAGGCTATTCTGTTACTTGGGAATGTTTCTACTATGCTTAGAATCAAATATGTTATGATTTTACATTTTGAAACTTGCTAGGAAACGTAACTGTTGTTGAGGAAATATTTAAAAAGCAAAAAATGATGAAAAGCAAAGGAGATGACAGACCTTGTTGTTACTGTCTGTACCATTATGTCAAGCTAGTACCTCACACGAGATATTCATTAAAAGGCCTTTCTCTTGGTCAACCTTTAGAGCACTCCTGTGTGATAGCTCTATCCTTACCCTGTTTCAAAACAAGAGGAGACCAGACGCTTCCCCAGGTATAAGTCTTCAGCAAGCAGAGTTAGAACAGTACTTCTGGGCCCAGTTTCTATCCAACACATTGGGCTGCATGACCAGTCTATCCTATTCAAATTTGACATTGAATTGTATTGGAAAAACCAAAATGTCTAAGACTGGAAAACTATCTAAATTCTCTTTCTTGGTTCAAACACTCTTTCTTGATCAGCAAAGTCTGTCTGGAGCTGAAGTCTCCATCCTGGGGTGTGGCATCTTAAGGCGATTGCCTATATAGTTAGATCATGAAACTCAGGGACAAAGAGTAGACTCTTGCTTGAGAGAATGGTTTTCTAACTACTTCTATAACTTGTCTCAGAAGAACAGGAAACCAAGTCATAAAAGCAGTTATTTGCCTATGGTCAGAATCATAGGCTGGACAGTACGCTCCCTTTATGTGCTGGATGTCTTTGCTATTGAGTGTGAAGATCATGTAACAGTTATATCATCTGGAGTGGGAAGGTTTTGGAATGATAATAATAACTACATTAGGACAAAGGGTAGAAAAAAAAAGATTGTCCCAGGCAAACTAGAACATTTGGTTCACTCTAATTATAGCTCACCATGACGACATCACTCCTCTTGACCACATTAGGTGATGACATCAGACAGGCAGCCAAGGTACTAAAGGAAGTGATGCACTTCTTAACATGAAAACCACTTTCCTAGTAGAGGTTGTTATTTATCTGTAGCTAATTGAAGCAACCTTGTCTTTGGGACACAAACACACTTCCTCGGTGAGGACCATCTTTAAGTGCTTTATGAGAATGGAAATGCACACCAACACTAAAATGATCAGGACTCACTAACCTTACCCTGTTACGCCTCATGAGTAGAAATAATTAACTGAATTATATACTATTCTTTGAGATGAAGTAGCCAAGAGACCCTTCCCCAAACATTGTTGTTTCTACAAGAGGTAGATAGTGAATGGCTTGGCTCTGTAGTACTGGTCAGGAGTGCCATTTGTAGAGGGAGAGCTGGACTTGAATAGTGGCAAGGGCAAGAGAGGCCAATTACTCTTGTACAGTGTCCCTCCCCTTGGTTGGTCTTGGTCATGGTGCTGCTGACATCTGCTCAACGCATTTGGCTCATTTCTCCCTTTCACACTTTCAAAAATAGATCTTCGTCCCTCCCAAGATGTTGTTTACACGAGGGGCTTCATAACGGATTCTAACGGAAGACACTGAAAAGGTAACTTGTCAGATGGGGAGCAGGGTGGCTTCTGGGGGCAGGGCTTAAGGGGGAATTAGGGTTTTTGATTTTGTTTTGTTTTTTAAGAAACTGAGGCATGGCATCCTAGCAACATATGCACTGGAGTTCTCCACATGGGAAAGTAGAAGTCAGAAATTTAAGAAAGCCTGCCCAGCTAAGGGAGTGTAAGAGGGTAAAGCAGCCTCCCTCAGACTCAGTTATGTTCAGGGATCACTAGGCTGAGCCTATAAAGACTCTGATCCATTTAGTCTAGAGTGGGTCTGGTATTCGGTATCTCCGTTGTTCTGCTGAAGTCATTTTCATGGGGATCACATTTACAAACTTGGACTTGGGTGACTTTAGATATCAGAGTATGAGCCAGGGATCTGACTATGCTATTATCCTGATTCTGTTGCTTCTCAGGCCAATACCATAGTTGATTTGTGTTGTAACTTAATATTTTAAAATAGAGCTAGATATACCTTCCCTATTGTATGTCTCACAAGGAAGTTTGGAACCCAGGGATAAATAATATGGTATGTATACATTCAGTACTGAGAAGGGAGAAACACAAAAGATCAGGTATCCGTAGAAAGATATTTCTAGAAAGAAAAGTTAAACATTACAGAGGGATCACAGAATGAGAGATGGAAAGCAAAGCCTTACCAATGAGAAGCGGTCCCACGTGTCCACTTAGAAAAAGCCAAGTGTATATTTAAAACTTAGCTTCTGCATTTCAGTTAGAAACAAGAAATGATGGTTAAGGCTACACAGGCACACCTCCAGAGGCTTTATGGAATCTCTCTTTAGAAGTAAGTTTCCCTAGGAAGAATGAAACAATTTTCTTAGATGAAATATGCATACCTCCATTGTTCTTGCATTGACAAGATAGAAAACCAAAGAGATTGCCTTCAATCTCTATATTTCAGGATCCAGAAAACCACAAAGTAGAGCCTATGAGAGACAATCCAGAGGGGCTGGAAACCTGGATTCTCAGGGCCATGCACATGCTTCTCAGGCTGCCTCAATCATCGTTAGGATGATGCTTTAAGCTGCTTGTCATCATTTACTCAAAAAGGCTGAATGAAAAATAGCATTAAAGATTGAGCCAATTTCAATTGTTTTGTGATTTACAGGACTGACCATATGAGTGATTAGAAAGAAAACCGTTGAGAGTATTTGCTATACTTCTATGGTATTGGCGATTATTTTCCCTCAGTTTTCCTTAAAACCACCTTTCAGAGAAAGTTGAATTGATCATAAATGACTTGTCTCCAGAGGAAACAATCATCTAACCCTGCTAGAAGGGTTAGCACTCCGCTGGGTTGCATCTGCTTGGAATCTCCAAATAAGGAAGAGGGAAAACTTCATGATTCCAGAAATGTGTCAGCTCTGTAAAGTCCTACTGCAGACTTGATGAGTCAGCAGATGGAAGACAAGTGTTTGGTTCACATCCCTAATGTCTCCATGTGCTTTATTTGGCAATGCAGCTTCTTGGTTACAAAGACCTTTGTTAAAAATTCAAAAGAAATGGTACACTAGCCAGCCTTTTGAATCTCAAAATCTCAGTCCTAGGATTCAGCTCAGATGAGCTCCCTGCATACAGGAATAAGAGATTCTTATTTTCAGTGAGAAACTAAGCACATGGATGTCTGTCTGTTCACCAGGCTCTCAGTGATTGTCCTGTGTCTAACTTTATCTCTCTCTCTCTCTCTCTCTCTCTCTCTCTCTCTCTCTCTCTCTCTCTCCCTC